CTCCTGTTCTTAGACATAGAGTTTACTGCTGGTACTGCCATGACTTTGGGCATGCCTAAGAAACTGAGTCCCTTGAGGGAAACGTTATCTAGTTGCAGGTCGATGGGATTTGGGTCTCAGCACTGTCAGAACTGGACATGCAGCAGAACTTGAGGCTCAGAAGTGCAGTTAAGTGAATGGAGACTTTGGGCACTTCATCTAGGGAAGAGTTTGATTACAGCTTTGGATTTTACTCCTGTGTTGTGTGTTCTTGTCACTTGTACATCCACTCAGACCTGTTTTCATCCCTGGGATTCAAGATATTCCATAGCCTCCATCAACAGTCCTTTTGCTTCTTGGGTTATAATACATAAACCAGCGAGGGTAAATATAACAAGTAGTGGGACTAACAAGGATGTAGCATTTGGGATCAAACTCAAGAGTGTTTAAAGGGAGCCAATTCATTTGTTCCTCAATAGATGCTGAATGAGATTCTTAAAGGGACATTTCCCCTGATACACTTTTAGCAGACCACACTAAATATTGGTTGATTGTTACATAGCTTGACTACTACAGTTTATACTAATTGAACTTGCACGTAGGCCTTGCCTGTTTTTCTAGGTTCTTTGTACTGTGCAAACTTGAGTCATGACTACTGCTGTTGTCAGGAGGTGTCAGTTAATTTGTTCTGATGATACATTGGCATTTTGCTCAATCACTGCAACCTAGGGGAACCTGGTCAATTGTTCCTTCTGATTTCTTGAGTGTCAGCTGGTTCCCCCAAAACTGCAAGATGAAATCTTCACTTTCAGATTATGTTCAAGTGGTTATATCTTCTGTTTCCATCTTGGTTTAAAGCAGTCATGCTCATTTCAGTTTTGTGTGATGTAGTAGTGAAAACTTCTGTACTTTAGATTCATAAGTTGCAGTCTTTACATCACGCAAAAACAATTCGATTAAGTGATGAAGCTTTTAAACTCACTACTCTTGTCAAGTTGTTTTGTTAAAAACTCTTCATATCATTTAGCAGTCAAGTCACAGATTTCCTTTGTTCAGTCTCAAATCACCTTGCCTGTTATCTAGTAGGGCCTTTTTTGAAGGCATACAGTTGTTCACCATAAAAGCTGGAAAAATCAGTACCTGCAAAACTATCATGCCCATCCTGGTGGGAGTTCTTTCCAAATATCTTCTAAGAGCTACTTTCTAACATTATTTTTAAAATAAAAATTACTGGCTGATAACTGAAGATGGTGACTTATTTCCCAGTCTGTGTGTTCGACTTGTTGAATACACCCCTTGGTTGGCTTTTAGAAGTTCTTCATTAAGTGACAAGCTGGATGTTATATGGACATGGATATTCCTGTCTTTTGTAGTTTGTAGGCCAAGTTTATTTCTTGTACACATAAATAAAGGATAAAACTGGACTAAGTCATCTGAAGAGGACTTAGCGTGGGAGGAAGTTGACAAATCAATGGAATCTTTTTAAATTTGATAACAAAGTTTTATTTCTATTTCTTGCGGTATGAAGAAATTAATCTGACTAGTACATACAGGTATTTTCACTAAAAGTGGTCCATTTTTATATCAATGGCTTCAAAAAGGAGTTAGGTATTGAAAGGTGGTTTTTACAAACAAAATGGGGAAACACTTCCTGGGAGCAGGTGGATTTCTGATAACTACTTTGTAATTTTGAAATTTTACTGGTCTGAAAACTGAAACACAATGAAGCAACATATGTGTAACAGGTGGTCTAATCCATGTAGATGCTGTGCATAAATTAGTGGTTTAAAACTGAGCTTGTACTGATTAATAAGGAATCTTTTTGTTACTGCTGTCTTCTGAAATCAGCCTTGTAGGACTGCAGCTTGAAAGCTAGTACTATGGAGACGCCTGTGAAGAATAGAAACTAATTTCTAGTGGAAAGGCTGGCATTATACAGGTTTCTTTTTCTTGAAACTGATGACACATTCTTTCCTCTTGGCTGACCCAATTACTTGGAATAATTTTCACTTTGCAATACTCTTGATGAAGTAAATGGAAAAAAACACTCTGGTGATGCTTAAAATCATTCTAGGATACTAAAATATCTCTACAGTTTTTTCTGTGTTCCATGAAGACTTTTTATTGTAACAGTTTAGGTAACTGTCCAATAGTTGTCTTAATTCATAGATGTTTAATACTGATGTAATACTTACATAAATGACACTTCCTGTTGTGAAGTGGAAGTGCCTGCTGGGACTGGGGAGAATCTTTATGTGCTGCTGGTCTATGTGAAGGTGTGAAACGTGAAGTACTGATAAGAATTTGAGAAAAGAAAACCAGAATAAGTTTGGTAAAGCTTAATTTTCAGAGGCAGAAAACAGACTGTTATGGTAATGGGCTTTATTCTTTTCTGCTATTAGGTTTTAGCCAGTATGTGTATCCTAAAGGGAAAATTTAAAAATTAGACTTTGGACCATAGAAAATAAACCGAAGAAGGAATATAATATTTTCTGCAGATAACTCTGTTTTGTATTGTTTCTTGTACTAGGATACAGCTTCAGTATCACTGAAACTTCAGAATAGATCTGGCTTTTAACTTGTAACGAGAATAGGCACAGATAAACTCTTGTACTGTTTTGTTGTAACTAGAGCTTGATTATCTGGGCTTTTGTAAATCTAATGCCCAAACTGGCTTTTTAATGTCATTGGCATAACTGATTAGGCAACATATGTTCTAGGAGAAACAACTCAAAGTTGAGAAAAAGTCAGAACTGTCAAAAGTCAGACAGTTCGTTTGGCTCACTCTACTGTATGATAATTGACCAAAAGGCAAAACTGTGGGAGTGGATTATGAAGCAAGGTTTAAATTATGAAGGAACAACCTTAGTTCAAATAAAGCAATCTTTGTGTCTCATGTGCTTTGGGCTCTAAACCTGCCTTTATGCAGCTTCATTTCAGTAGAAACCAGCTAAAGAACAAAAAGGTTGAGTTTTATGTTTCTGTATCTGTGTGGTGCAAGCTGTCAAACAGCAATTGGGAATGAAGAGAATCTCCATTTTGAGGCCATCTGTGTGGGTTCTTTTGTCTGAACCTGACAAGAGGTCATAGCAGATGGTGGGGTCACAAAGTCTGGCTTCTCGAGCTTGACAAAATGTGTTCATAAACCTGGAAGAATACCAACTGTTCGTACTGGCTGAAGAGCATTGTGGCGAAGGACTGTAATAGTTTATGGACAATACCTTCTGGATCACTAAGCTTGACAGCAAATAACTTGCCAAAGATGAAACTAGTTTGCTTATATGTAAATGGATTAAAGCTGCTTAGCAAATGTGTCCTTAACTATGTTTTATTTGAGTAAATTACTTGTAAAGCCTCTTAAAGCAAGAGAGGGAGGTCAGACTGCATCATGAATTTTGGCCAGAGCTCTGGATGATGTATTCAGAGAGTTTGTGTGGAAGGAGGAGGAAGGTGGAAAAAGAAAAGGCATGTAGATCATAATTTTCAGACACAATGCAAGGATTCCGTATTTGCTCTTTGCCTTGAGCACTTCATGGCTTTTCTGTGGCTCTTCTTTGGGTTTCAGGATTGCTACACAGATCCAGTAGCCCCTTTTCCCAGGGTGTGAATAGATTATCTATAGTGTTCTTTCTGAAGGCAGAGAAAAATTTCTTACTTTCTTGGACGTTTTATTGTGAAACTAAAACAAGTTTTCATGGGAGAATGTCTTAGTAGACAGAATTGTGTAGTGATCACATGCTGAAGTAACTGCTTAATTATGGCTGCTATAAATTGAGGCACTAAGGAAAATAAATATAACTCATTCAACAGGAAATGGAGAGCACCTCTAAGTTGAATAAAATGTTTTTCCATTGACTCTAATAACAGTTTAATTGATATGATGTCTGAATAAACCAGAAAAGAAAGCTATAGATACGTGTGGAATTTAAAATTTTTCTGATTTGTTCAAAACCACTAATGCAGTGGTGGTTACCAGAGTTCCCCATTAGCTACAGACACTACTGAAACAATTTTTGGCACTTTTCTAGAAGGGAGGTGAAGACACTGGCCATTCTCAAAATTTGCATAGGTTAAAATACAGAGGAAATAGCATGGATTGCACCTTGCTTTTGTAGCTGGTGAGTTCTGCTGTAAATGGTTGTGACTCATATTTGTAACTAGTTCAGGAATCTTCCAGAAGATTTTGCTAAATTGATTCCACACTTGAAAGTGTGAACAGTTCACCCTCTCTTATACATCAAAGGAAATTCAGATGTCTTTTGTAGTCCCTTTTTCAACAGCAAGTAATATTTATAAAGTACTTCTGAAGTACTTAAAGGCTTCGTCAAGTTAATTCTGTCTTTAAAATAGTTTGTGCTGCCAGCATTGATTTGTAACTATTCTTCTGTTTTCTGTAAAACTTCTGGAAACTTTGATTTTAAAAAAGAAGTCATTTTATTTTTGGGTATACCAAAATGTTTGTCTTCTGGAATTCTAATATTATCATTCTAGTTGAATAGGGTTAATAAAAAGACTGAAATTATTAAAAAGATTATTTTGAATCAGAATGATTTTTCCTAAAAATACTTAATTTTTGCTATGTATGTATGTTTCATAGTATTTCCTACTTTTTATCAAGATCTCTGGATGTCTGCAGCAATGGAATTAGAAACTTTCTCTGCTGTTGGATGCTAAAGACACAGTGGGGAGAATTAATTAACTTTCAGTTTTTAGTCAATCTGCATTAGATGCAAATGATTACATGGGTTTAGTTACAGGACTTTAGTAATGGTATGACATGCTTTGTTTGCACATTAACATAGTTAGTCCTCTATGTAAATTGGGCCTTTATATATAAGATTACATCTCTGTCTATTCCCAGCAATGTACGTTTCTAGTATCTGTGCAAAACCTGACTATTGTGGTGACTGATTTTATCAAAAAGTAAAGAAAAAAATCTGTCCTCTGGAAATGCAGTTTCAGCTAAAGGGGTAAATGAAAATATATATTAACTAAGATATTGTATTAACTTTTTTTTACAGGATGTTTGTTTTAAAGATTCTGTGAAGATGAAAAGGGATATCTTACGGTTTTACGGAATATAAAGCAACATTGTCTGACATGACGGCAAAAAATGTAAGTATAATTCTACAACGTGTATTACTTCTTATATTGGCGGGCTACCAGTCACTTCTGGCTTTCAGAATTTGAAGGTCTTTGTGTTTGATTTCCGATATCAAACACAAAGACCTTCAAATTCAAAAGATCTTGTCCAATTTTTGTATGCCACAAATGTGTGCCCCATAATTTTCTGCAGTATTTTGATAAATTTAAACTGCTTAGAGCCTCTTTAAAGATGTGGAGTTTACTCAGCTATAGGTCAGGTTGATAACTGGGGCAATGCTTTATGCTGTTTTCTTATTGATCCTTAGGGATCCCTCTCATCTTTAGATGCTCTCTGATTATATGATGTCCTCTAACAGTGCTCGAAGCTTAACCAGAGAGCTTCTCACTTTGTTGAAGCATCTCACCCTTGCATCGGACTAAAATCCTACTTAATTCAAATCTCAAAACTCAAAAAAGAACAGACAGACGGCATAATTCTTTGCTAATGTTGGTACACTCTTGGTTTCTAGAAGACTGAGGGCCTTCCTATTTCTTCATCTGCCCCACTAACAAGCCTGTAGCATGGTGTCTAGGGGCTCCATATTTGACTCCCCTATCCTGAGATCTGCGGAAGCTTATTAAATGTCTAACATCCAGACCTTAAGTTTCTGCCTGATTAGCTGTGCTTCCCGAGGTATACAATTTGTATAGAGAACAGTTTGGATTAAGCTTGTGTCAGTGAGTTCAGTATGACTTTGGGCCCTCGGCAGTTTACCTGTTGACTGTCTTTGATAGGGCATCCTGCTGTCTAATTAAGTCTGAACAGCTTTAGGAACCAATATGACTAAGGTAGTACAATACAAGTGCAGGTAACCCTAGGATGGCTCTCTGCTCAGTAACTGCAAAAGCCGTTGTGTATATTTGATTAGATTGATGCCAAGGACATAGTTTGGTTACATGAATTCTCAAGCCTTGGAAATTTCTTTTTTTGTTGGCTTTATTAATAATTTAATTTGTTGTGTAATTCCAGGTAAGGCTTTCAGATGTCTTATGTCTGACTGATTCAAGCTGACCAAGCCACAAAATAAATTGATTTGTATATGCAAAGGCCTTCGACTGACTTATTTCATAGGCCATATTCAATTATAGTATAAATAGGTAATTCTACTGATGTATGTGGAACAGCTGCACAAATCGACATCATTTGTGGTTTTGACCTTTTGTTCAATGCAGTCAAAATACCAATGCAAATAAAATCCATGGAGTGTTGTATGATAGCATCATAGAGTGACTTAGGTTGGAAGGGATCTCAGGTCGCCTCCTACTCTGGTGCTTTGCGTAAAGCTCTTTGACACCTGAATTCAGAACCCAGTTGCTTGGTGCTTTGTTCAGGGCTGCTCAGGGCTTTGGGTTTTGAAAACCTCTGAGGACAGACACAACATTCAGTCTGGGCATCCTACTCTTGTGCTGAATATAGAAATATGTTGGTTTTGTTTAACACAAGGCTATAGTTATTTTATAGAACAAATATTTTATTGGTATGTGTATGTTTTGGAATTTTGTATGTTAAGCTATGCAAACCTAGTTATTTAGCTAATGCTTATGGGTTTATTTTTAAAAAGACAGTTACTGTGGCACAGATGAAAGTAGAACTCAGTTTTCATGTTTGTTAAGTATACACATTCAAAGGATTTGCAAAAAGTAAGAGTGTAAAAACAGGGGTGTCATATGCTTTCTGTCCTTATTTGTAGCACTTCTTCAGGATTTCTCAACCTTAGTTACTCAGAACTGCACACTCAGACTGACAGTGTCAGCTCTAGTGTTTTCTATTGCTGTTTGAAGGGCCCAAGAATGCTTCTGAATTTGCAGAGTTCCAGGGTTAAGCATATGTCTATGGCTTTTTGCAGTTTGAAATCTATTTCAAATGTAAGGTTAGTGTTTGTTACACTGTTCGAAATATTTTCATGATTTGCAGAGTGAGTTGAGGGAGAGAGCTGCTCTGCAGAAGTCTTTCCATCTTTTTTTTTCTTTCTGTTGAAACATCAAGGAAAAGGTACTTTAAAGTACTAGAATTTGGACATCTTCTGGGAGGCTCTTAAAGGGAACGTATCTTTCATCAGACAGTATTCATCAGGAAGCTCTCACCACTGTGTTCTGAAATCACTACCCCTCAAATGGGATGCAGTAGTCTCAGGATGTTTGTACTCCTAATGTATTGCAAGAACGAAGTGCAGTGATCTTAGGCTAAAATGTCTTTGCATCTCACATGAATAAGCTGTGTTAAGTGAGCACTCTTGTCTCCATGGAAGCTTACTTTTCAAGCATACAGAAAAAAGTTTCCATAGGTTGAATGTGTATGTAAGATGAATATCATTCCCCATCACTGTTTTTGCTTGCTAACTTTCTGAGTACATGATGGGAGAATTTTCAAGACTGGGCTCACTGCTCACTCTCTAAATGCAGGACACTTTCTAGTATCTGCTTCTGGAACATTGTTTATGGGTAATTTGACCTTCCTTAGAAAACAAATCTGACCAAAACAGCTATGAATAATAAAATGTTAAATAAAAGTTATGGATTCTCTCAGAGATTATATGTACATGCATACATACATACATATTGTACCCAGATGTAATTTAAATGGCTGTTTCATTAATTGTTTATAGCAGGGATTCTCAACCTCTCTTTCACCACAGACCCCCTTTAAATACCTTTTGTGGCCACAGCCCACCAAGACTTAATTCAACATTTAAAGCACTAGACTGCAATAATTATTTATTTCAATTTTCTCATGAAGGATCTTCAAATTTGGAGAGAAGAGGAAATAAATTAATCTGTTAATCCACACACTCCTATTATAATATCTTTATTGCAATGATTCCATATGAATTTAAAATAATAGCATCAACATTCTTCTTTCCCAAATGGCCCATGTAAAGGTATTTTAATGTGCTGATTCCAAATTTGATGCCAATTTTTACATTAAAATTTGATAAATTTTTTACAATTCTTCTCACATCCCCTCTTGTTTGTCTGTGTTCAGTCACTGTATATTTTTGTTTACGGGTCCAGGGCCACCACTTGGAGGAACAGACTTCAGCCCCATTGTGACCCTAAAGAGGACTGTTGGGTTAAGAAAATGTCTTTAAGATAAAAACCACCAAGTTAAAGTGGGTCCCACCAGCCATACTAACACTGAATATCCTAACGTGTCAGGGCAGGTTGAGAACCACTGGCTTATATCATAAAATGAATTTTTCTTTCCTGTTTTGTACTTTCATTCCCATCTGTCCTTCAGGTAAGAAGTCACCAAAACTTTATTGAGAAATGGGGGAAAAAATGAGCACATACTCATGGTAAACTTATTTTTAGGACAGCGGATTATTTGAATAAGACTGTTAGTTTTGATTGTCTGATCTGAATTTATATCCATGTGCTTGTAAAGTTATTTGTCACTGCTTCTCAGGGGGTGGTTGTCTTGTCATAACTGAGGTTAGTTAAATGGCAGTAATAGTTCTCCTTTCACATGTCAATATGGAAAAAGACTAGATAGTTTACCTGCTGGAGTTGGTCAGGAGGGCCTTAAACAAGCCTTAACACCTGTCTTACACAGGAAACTTCAAAAACAATGTAAAGGACACTAGCTGTTCTGCACTGATACTCCATGCAGGTTTCTTTCAGTTTACAGTGAGAGTGCCCTTTTTAGGTCCTGCCTGAGTTGTTTCTGTAAGTGATACTACTACAGTTTGTCTACAGATGAGTCTGGTGGGGCTTATGGCTAGTTAATGGATTTACAACTTCTACATGCTGTAGTCTGGATTAATTCTAGGAGAGAGAGAACAAAAACTTTTCAGGTTAATGGGAAAGTTAATTTCTGTAAGGAAAGGGAAGGATTGCAGGCAGAGACTTGCTACCTGAACTGCATGTCAAGCAGTGGAAAAGGCCGATAAGCTACAAGAGCAGCTTGTGACAGTTTGCCCCATCCAAGACTCTGATTGAGATTTTTATTTTTCCCCCCCTTGCCCCATTTGGAGACTTCTTAGTCACCTACTATGAAAGGTGGGGGGAAAAAAAAACCTTGATGAAAATATTCAGTAGGATGCAAAGGCCTGCCAAGTCCTTGCTTCATCTTACTTAATGGCTGGATTCATCTTGCTGCAGATGGACAGAAATAGGAGTACGGGTCCTGCCGTACTCAGTAATCCAGACGCTCTGGGGCAGCGTTACAAGCAGAAATTTGCAAGCCATACAGAAAGTAATAAATGATACCTATGTAAGCACTGCTCATTTCAGTTTAGGAGTGGTTCAATGACAAGACTCCCAGAAGCAGTGGGTGGTACGGTGTCCAGATAACAACATGGTCTGGAACCTCTCTGGCATTGAAATGGAATACTGTAAAGTTCTTTTTCTGCTGCAGTATTGTAATACTGCATCATTCTTTGCTTTTTTCTGAGGGCTTAGTTATGATAATTCTTCTGTAAGAGAAACAAATTCCTTTAGATCTGCCACACTTCTAAGTTCTCATGAAATCCAAGTTTGTTTTCAAGCTCTTCTAAACTTAGATGCAAAGATTATAAAATTGAGAAGGGCTCCTGTTGATTGGATGCTCTTTATAAACATGTTACTAGGACCATCATAATGAAAATACATATTTCTATGCAAACTAAAATTCTGCTGTAGTTTTGTATCATCTGGATCACTGAAGTACAAGATACACCGAAAAAAGAACTCAAGTAATCTGTTGCATCTCCTTAAATATTGAATTGGTTAAATAATCAAAATGTTTCAGAGACTTAAATGTAAATCTTTGAATAATCATAGCAGGTGAAGAGTCATCCTGGGCTGACAGTGCATATTTATATAATCTTCAGTGTTTAATTGAAGCACCAGTATGAATCAACAGAGAAATGTACAGTTGTAAATCTGGAGAGGAAGGTTCAATTGTGAACAAAGTGCAGTGCTGTCTTTGAAGATTGTTATTATTTTCTTTTTTCTTGGAATTAATTATGGCCCTTATATCTAACACTTGATACTTATCCCTGTGGCTCCCCTGTTCTCTGCATTGAAGTTTTCTCCTATTTGTATTCTATTTCTTGCAGAGGGAAGGTCCTAGGGAGAAGCTGATACTATTATTTATGGTGCAAAGGCAGCAGTAGTATGATGGAAGATTGCTGGCTCTTCATTTCAGCTTTGCAGTTGTAATGCCCTTTCAGTGCTGTATGCTATGCAATTTACTAACCCCTCCAACTTCTATTTTAAACACATTTTCAGTGTGAGGAATCATGGTGACCTTTTACCACATGGGCTTTGCTTGCTGCCCAAGCACCCAGAGGGAAGAATACTAGAATGCTGCTATTTTCCCTATGGACCTGCTACCAAAACGTGACAGGAGACGTTTTGCGTTGTTTTCATGTCTTGCTACTCTTTCCCCTGCTCAAATCCAGGCATTCCTGATTTCATCCTCCGGGCCCTGCTGCATTGCCTCTGCTCCGCTGCCACCTGGTGGGAGACAAAAGGGAAACGGAGAGGACAAAATGAGACAGACTTGTTGTTTCAAAAGCCACTTTGGGTGATATCATAGTCTGCAACAACCAAAGCACTTGGTTGCCCATTGGAAGTAGTATATGACTGTTCAGTTGGGTGTGACAGAAAAGAGCAAGTCTGAAACAGACAACGTTTGAGATAAAGGGATGAACTATATTGAGCATCTCAAGAGCTTGTTTATAGAAGCATGTAACTTAGGTCATTTAGGAAGTATTTTACAATCAGGGTAGTGCAGTAACAGTTAATGTTCAGATTTTGCTCCTGATGGTGAAAAAATCTTAATAGAAGCAGTTTCAAAAGAGTCTGTCACAGTGCTTTGTGCAGATTTTCCCCTTCAAAACTTACTTGCGAATAGAAGTTCTCTAGAGGAACTGAATGATCAAATGCTTGTAGTATGTATTTTTTGTTCTTGTGTAGTTTATTTTGGTGATATGTTACTACCGTTTAATCTGCCTGCAATTAAACAATTCTCTTATTTGGTATTATTAAAATTCTACAAGCGGCCCTAGCGTATGTTCCATTACTACTACATACATCTGTAAAATAAAGCAAAAATTTGATCCTTGATTGTATGTTTTGTGTTTCTTAACTTGGATACCTGAACCCTTTGTCCCAATTATTTGCAGAAGTACTCACATTTTATATTTTAAAAAGAGAGTTCGTAGTATTTAGTTGAATTGTCTACTGTTCCAACAGAGTGCAATCCCTCAGCACTTATCACAGCTTCTATCTTGGAGGCAAAACAAAATGCTTTGTTGAACAGAGGTTACTAAGGTGGTGCAGACATAATGCTCTGAAACTGCAGAATGCCTTACCATTACCTGCTGTTGCTGGGCCTGTCCCTTGTTAGCTGGGATCTGAGGGACTTTCCATCTCTTCCCCCTGTCGTCCAGGAACAGTGACCTTGCGTTTTTCTATACAAACTCCACCTTTCTATGGTTTGTGTATGTGCCAAAATCTGAGATGCACCATTCTGTATATGATTTAATTTCTCTATGTCTCTGGTAATTTACCCTCAAAGTACATCAGTTTATATCTGAAGACTAGGGAGTGTATTTAAAATGCCTCCATAGACAAATCTGCTCAGGCCTGCACACTGCAGCTTAGTAGTGAGAATACTGGACAGCAGGCAGATCTCTGCTGTTATTGGTGACAGCTGCTATGTTTGACATGGAGAGCACAGTGACTTACACCATAATAGCCAGAATGTGCTGCTTGGGTCATGTATAGTACAGTATCAGAACATTTAGGGTTTTTTTAGGTAGGAACTTAGTTAAAATTAGAGTTTGTCTTCATATATACACAGTAAATGTCTTGGATCTTTTGCCTTTAATTTCATGCTCTTGTTAGACTCTACTATCCATAGGATTATGATGTTTCAGAAATGTAGAACAGATGACTTCAATAATACTGTATTTTATACACACAGTACATTTTTATCATGTAAATTAGTTGCATACTAGAAAACATAGAAAGATTTATCATATTTAAAGACTTCAAAAATGTTTTGTTCAGGTTGGTGTGACTTCCACAAATGGAGACCTGAAAGGATTTATAGATCAGAACCAGAGTCCAACAAAAGGTAAGTGAGTTCTATTTGTATACACAGAAAAGAAGCATACATTAAGACTTAATTTCTCTCTTATATTTACGAAATTAGTATTATTGCTGATTTCACTGCATATAGTTGGTTCAGTTCTGGGAGACTCGGAATTTATATGTTCAAAATGTATTTCATACATCCACACCGGTAGATGTTTTTTTTACTGACATGCAAGTGTCAATAGCAAAGATTTGTAAGATCTTCAGGTTTTCAGAGGGGAAAAGAGAGTGTAGTAAAAATAATTAGAGGATAAAATAAGCCCTTTTTTTTTTTTTCTTTCCTTGATGGTGAATCATGTGCTGAATCTCCTAATTTCCACACCATCCTTAAAGTTCCCACACTGTTGTAGTCCAAATGGGAGAGAAAGTTAAGCATAACTTCATGGTCGGTGATATATTAGGGTACTTTTATAAGCATTCTGGGTGATTTACAATAATAATTATATTTTGTCCTATCTTGTTTCATTTTAGCATTTTTAGATTGATCACTTCTGACTCTAAGACAGGGTGTTGGCAGTCAGAACTGCTATAGGATTCCAAGAAAATAAAACTTCAACCCCACTTACCAGTATTAGAAAACTTCAGGATTTACAGTTCAGGAAACTGCTTTGATCAACCTTTCTAAGTAAATACTGTTTTGCTATTATCCACTGCAGTAAACAAATGCATGTACTAGCTGGAAGAATGACTTTTGGCTCATCACAACAGTTTAGGTGTATCAGACTTCAGAGTTTGGAAACATGAGAAGGTCTAAACAGAAAATGGCTAGAGATACAGTATCTTCCTAGTTTTCTAAACTGTGCAGAACATGACAGACTGATTTTAGGCCTTTGATAATTTATTGTGCACTGGTGAGATAATTGCCCTTCATGTTTCATTATTTTTTTATTATTGTGTCATGATACTAGGGAAAAAGACATAAGTCTTTTCAGCATTTTCAAATAATTTCTGTGAGACAAGCAGTTGGTTTGTTCAGAGAATAACCAAATTGGTATAAAGTATAGGACAGTACTGTTAGTAGTAATAACTCAGTCATCCATATCCCAATCTTTATTGTAGTTTTCTTTTCTGGGATGATAAATGCATTATTTACCTCCATTCTTGTGCACTTTCTAAAATGTTATGCTGTAATGATTTTTTTTTTAACCTTGAGGTATAATTAAAAATCACCTACATCTCTGTTGAGATATAAGATCTAGTTCTGGCTTATTCTTCTTGGAGAATCAGATATTCCATAAAAGCTGGAAAAACCTGTATACCGGTATCTAAGCTGTCTCGTACTTTCAGTCTGAAGTATCCTTTACTTACTTCTGGCATGTCCGCTGTTGAACTCTGGAAATCGAGGAGAGGGGAATAAACTCCAAACAGGCATTCAGATCTACTGTCTCTTAACAAGGCTTTGTGAACTTCCTAATGAATACAGTTTTTATTTGTTTATCCATTATTTAAGTTAATTTATTTGCTATAGTAAAAATAAAGGCAATTCATTGCTCCATATCTGGGCCTGTTCATAATGTGACTTCACAGTGTTCTTAGACTGAAGCATGGTGGATTTTATAATATGTTCAAGAGCAAAAGAGAGAGGCCAGTTGCTCAAATAAGGATCTTCTTGAATTTCAAAATCTCTTTTCTCCCCGAGTTTTTCCCTTGAACCATCTGAAGCAGTAGTAACTGTTGCTGCTGTTCCAGTGTGTTTGATCAAGCTTCATTTATCTTTCCCACCCTGACCTGTAGTGTCCATGCACAACCTCTGCATATTTTCCAGGTTTATTTTGCTGCAGGAAAAGTTAATGCTCACAGACTGTTTAGGTATTGCAATCTAATCTGTAAGTCTTAAAGTACTGCTGTGTCATTTTTGCTGATTTTTAGATCTGAATTACTATTTCTAAATAGGTGGACAGGTTGTCTAGTTTATTTGGGGGTTCAGTTTTCTTATTACTTGCTTGTTTCCTGTGTTTGATAGTAAACGCTGTGGTCTTCTTGCTGTAGCTTTTTTGATTTAGGGTTTTTAGAATATTTTCAGGGTTTTTTTTATTCCTTGTATAGATGATGTGTGGGGGAAAAAAAGCATTTCTAGGACCTGGTGTATCTAAATGCAATACAGATTTACTAAGGAATTGATGCTTTCAATGTGATAAATGCAAAATCAAGGCACATATATGCAAATTTGTAATCCTCATTAAAAAAATTTACTGCTTAATTCTGAAGGGATCTAGATTTTTCTTTCTAGGTGTGCCTAGTAGAAATACCACGGTGCTCAGCAGACCATTAACTCAGAATATTTGTTGTTTACTTGTTTAGTGAACAATTCCCGTTCAGCAGACAATTTACTTTCCTATATTTATTACCTTTAACTCATGGGCAACAGGCTCTTTTGGCTAAAGGATTTCCACTTGGAGCTTGTTTCCTTTGCTTGGATCTGAGAGGGAATGCCACATGCAGATGGCTAACTAGTGGACAGGGTACTTGCCTAATGCCAGGGACTGCTTGTTGCAAGGACGGTCATTGGGTAAAATATTTTAAGTAGTCCACACAGCACTGTCTGGATATCTCCTTTCCAAAAGTCATTCTCAGTCTTTGACATAGTATATTACTGTTACAGTTTGAATTGTTCAGCTATGGCAAGCTGGGCTGACTATGCTTCATTTCCTTATCAGAAACTACCTGGCGGGCTAGTGATTAAAACTATTTCTGTAGGAGACCAGCGTTTTAAATTGGAAAAATTGGCCCTGGTTCTTATTCTTCAGTGAATGCTCTTGGGTTACTGAATGCAAAATGTTGCTTCCTCACATGTTCTGGATAACAGATGATTGTTGCTGTTCTTAGCCTTGGGGACAGATCTGTATGTATGTATTAGGTGTTCTTCTAGTGCTTTTGTCATGAATCGTGCCTGTTGGGAGAAACTCCTGGTGTGCTCCATGCTAACAAGACTTGACACACTCCTGAGGGTAGGCAGAACTTTGGTGCCTAACAAGTTTTTGACAACTAAGGTACTCCATTACTTAGGCAAAATCCTGGTGTAAGTGGCAATTTGTCTTTGTGGAGTTGGGCTGTTCTGTTAAAATTAAGTATAATAGTTCAAACTACTTCTTAAACAGGTATAATTAGGTTTGTGAGTTGGATAATGATGCTTCAGTTATGGTTTCGGGGTGATTGTTTCAAGCTGTGGATGAATTAAATCAGACATAGTGTAGAGTTCATGTTGAAAAGTTGCATGTGTAAGCAGGAGAATTTAAAATTTAATCTGTTTGGGAAACATTCGCAGTCAGGAAGTTAAACAGTTCCAGTTTTGTAATTCTGTTCATATATATTATAAGAATGGAAAATAAAATCCTTTCTCACTGATTCCAAGCAGAGGGCATGTCTGTATTACCACTTGGCCACTTGCCCTGTAAAGCTGCCTTGCCTGCCCCCTGTGCATCCACAGAGATGCCCACGGCTTTGAGGGCTCCATTCCAGTTCAAGGAGTAGTGCCAAGGCTACCTGGTCTGCTAAGCGTTAGAGCTGTGTAGGTACGAAGCCCTGTAATCAAGGTTTGCAATCAGATATTACTTGCAAAGTCATTTCAGTAGTCAAAGCAGCAAGCTGCTTCTCAGCTGTAAATTCAGTGAGATGTGGTGCCCTCAGGTGAGCACACTGAATTCAACACACTGGAAATAAGCACTACGGGTGAAGGGACAGCGTGTCCTGAACATTCTTTTGAACAAAACAAGATACGCAGAGAACTCCACAATGGAAAGCAAGTGCAGATGTAAAAGATTTATTTCTACTTGATCTGTGCAGTTCTGCAGAACGCGCAGAGGGTGGTGCCTGGGGCGGAGGAGGCACGGCTGCCCCCCGGGAGGGCAGAACGCGACCTCCAGCTGCGCCCCGCTGCAGGTCCTGCTCCGGCAAAGCGCCTGCCCGGAGCTCCGAGCCGCGCCGGCTGCCGCCGGGG